GCACAAGGTATTTCAACAAGTTTCTTTTGCAAAAAACAACAACAAAAGAAAAGGAAAGGATGAAAAAAAGATATGAATCCGTACAAATTCTCAATTAGACACATGCTTAATAATTCAGGTTATTGATTAGTTCAACTCCGATAATCTGTTCGTCACAGAGTATATTTGCTAAGTAATGTATTATAGAACCTTCATACCTTCGCTTGCGTGTATGGACTTTAATGTAAACAAGTAAACAACGTGACTACTCCTATAGCGTTTTTTCTCCAAAAAACTGTCACCAGCTCAGGAACGTTATAACACCTTCGGCCGGGAGTTACTAGCCATGTATTTAACCGATAAACACTTCACATTCTCACTACAAGGGAGAACTATAATGACTGACCACAAACCTTTGTGTTACTCGCTCAATACTTCATACGACCGACATTCACCGCGCGAAGCACTACAATTAGATTACATCTCCCAATTTACAACAGATATCCAATTCGTCAAAGGATACACTAATGTCGTAGTTGACACGTTATCACGAATGGATATAAATACCCTGGTATTTAAGCAGGATATCGATTTGGAGACAATCGCAAAATTGCAAGTAGACGACGCAGAAATAAAAAGCTGCCAACTGAATTCTAACCTGATACTTAAACACATACCGATTCCTTTTTCAGACTCATTTATCATCTGTGACACCTCAACAAGCAACAATCGTCCGTTTGTCCCACACGCTTGCCGACGAACAATATTTCAGCAATTGCATGGTCTTTCACACCCAGGCATCAGAGCAACGACAAAGCTCATTACTGAACGTTTCGTGTGGCCAAAAATCAATTCGGATGTTAAACGTTGGACACGTAGCTGCCTCCAGTGCCAACGCAGCAAGACGCAGAAAAACACCTCTAGTCCAATTGGGAAGTTCCCTATCCCTGACAAACGCTTCCAGCACGTGCATGTAGATTTAGTGGGCCCCTGCCACCATCAAACTCCTTCACGCACATCCTTACTGCAGTAGACAGGTTTACTAGATGGGCCATAGCCTGCCCCATAAAAGACACTTCGGCAGAAACAGTCGCTTCAGTCTCCCTCGACCGCTGGATATCTACCTATGGAGTACCTTCTATAATCACTACAGATCGTGGTCCCCAATTCCAATCCATCCTATTTCAGGAATTCGCTCGACTTCTCAGGGTAAACCACATCAGAACAACAGCTTATCATCCGGCAGCTAATGGCATGATCGAAAGATTCCGTCGCCTACTAAAAAGCTCACTGGTGGCACAAGCGGACTCTTCAACGTGAAGTGATGCTTTACCGCTCGTACTCCCTGTGATTCGTTCATCTATAAAAGAAGACATCGGATGCACGGCCGCCGAGCTAGTTTACGGCACCACCTTAACGTTACCAGGACAGCTGGTCAATAGTGAACCTACAACATCAGTGAATCCTTCTCGTTTTGTAAGCCGCTTACTGCAAACGATGCAGAATATCAAAGCAATATCTCCGTGAGAAAATAACAGCTGAGTACAACTCGATAAACATCTGGAAACGTGCGAATTTGTTTGTGTTCGAGTAGACGCTGTGAAAAAGCCACTTGACACCACCATATGAAGGTCCTTATAAAGTGATGAAACGCACCCACAAATACTTCATTATCGAGCAAAATGGGAACAAGGAGACCGTTTCCATAGACAGAATAAAACCAGCTTTCTACGAAGCTCCTCAAGACAAAGAAGACAACTTTGCGAATAAACAATCTCTCCCATCAATTGTTGTGAAACAAGAGGGAGAGGAGGAGGAAAGACTTAGCACTACGCCTTCCTGTTTAACACGTTCTGGGAGACTTATAAAATACAAGCGTTATGTACATTTCACCGTATAAGTAGCAAAAACAATCAACGGAAACAATGATCGAGGTCCTACACTATCAGGTTCACCCAAAAAAATTTTTCAACAACTTGTACAGAAATATCGAACATTCATAATTGTGGATTTACGATACCAGACCCAATCAGAACACGCGGCAACTTAGTGAATTTGAGTAAAGTCCATATCTTTACGTTGTATTAATAATTATTAACATTCTTATTTAGTCTTCATAACTTGGTTAATATTTTTTTGCGTTCATATTTGTCTGGCCCAACACACTCTGACCGCACAGATGGTGTGCAGTCTGGAGTCACGTAGATGTCGCTAAAATAAACATATTTGTATTTACTCAGCTGTTTCTGATGGAATCTTGAAGTTAGACAGTCAATAAAGTCATTTTAAAACTTGAAACATACAAAAGTATATTGAAACCAGCTACAACCGGCGGCCTGCTTGAATATCTGGGCTACCTGTTCCTCCGATCTAGATATTTCATCAAGTTATCTGTTTTGTTGTTTGTTTTAGCACATCACTATGTCTATTGTGCGCACAACCTATTCAGGCGCGTTTATGAAAAGTTTACAACCTTTCGCTGTACGGGATACAAAAAGGTACAATCAGCGACATCATGGTGGCTGGCAATATGCATTGAAACAAATGAACAGTAATCAAATATGGATTACCGAACTTCTAACATCTAACTGGTCATCATTCAAAATTTATCGTCACAATCGATCAAGGTATAAGAAAAGGAAACTTGTTGAAATACTTTATGCTGAGAATTCTATGTTGTACCAAAAATATAATGTTGAATAAAGCTTCTAATAATAATTATAAAAAAATACAAACGTATCCACACCGACGCCACAGATTTTTTTGTCGTTTGGTCGATCATGACGATAGATATTGAAATCACGTGGTGATACCAAGCAGTCACCCCGCAAATCACTTAACGAAGATTCTTTAATTGTGATGACACCACAATTACGATACATATTTTGTCTTAGTAGGAATCAAAGATAGTCCACCTTGTAAATTAGTGATCGGCAGTTGGAATTTAGCAGCTTAAGAGTCGACATACAATTACTGTTCATTCTCTTCAACGCAGATTGCTAACATGCGTGATGTCTCTCATTCTACTTGATCGCAACGTGTGCAGCGAAAGGTCGTAAGCTTTTCATAAACGCGCCTGGATAGGTTATGCGATTATCAGGCACAATGAGGCAATAAAACAAAACAAAAAACAGATGACTCGTTGAAATAATTAGATGTCAGTGACAAGAAGTAGAAATTTCGAAGCATAAGAGGTTGACTAAGCTTCCCGACTGTGTTCCTGGTGTAATGAAAGTTCACGTGGAAAGGGAAAATCGGTTGAACAACGTATAATTACAGTATCTTTAGAAAATGTGAAAACGATACATTAAATGTACTATATTAACATCTTTCTTTAAGTGCTTCTCTAGAACACTAACGTCCTTCCATGTCCGTTATTTAACCAGTTGTTTTCTGTTTTACGTTTCTTTCTCTTCATTTACTTTTCCATCAGTACGACTTCTAACCACATACTACATACATCTATACGTATAAGTTGCATACATTACACTACGATCCTATGGCTGAGAGGGAAATAACTCATCACAAGTACAATTGCCTGACAACTTTTGAATAGTGGACATGAAGTGAATGTAAGTAATCCATAAAAAATAATCAACAAATAGCCCAACACCAATCCATAACATTCCATAACATTTGTTAAGCTTTAATTTTTCAAATTACTTTGCAGCCATGCAATCTCTTTTTATGTATTTGTCATCTTCTTAGATTTATTCATGTTTACATATTCTAATAATTAGAATCATGAGTCGATTGAAACGAAACCACCATGGAAAACCAGGAAGCACTGGATGGCCGTTTCGACCTATTTTGGGACTCGTCCTTGGCAGTACACATCCACGATCAGGCCATGCGAGAATCGAACCAAGGACCTACACGTCTCTTCATTTTAATCAGTATTGAGTGATTACTCATTCCTTTATTCATTTCATTCACCTTATTCAATCTCCTTGATTTTGAATACGATTACTGGTAACTGGAATAACCACTCTACTCTGAGTTATCACTTTTCAACATGTTTTCACTATGTTTATTCACATGTAATATGTCTCATAATTCTTGATGTGATGAGTTTGGTTGCGTTCTGTTACAATATGGAATTCTCAGTACACGGTGTTTCTACAAGTTTTCATTCCTCATTTCTTGATCAATCCTAACGAGTCAGTTATCACCAGATGAATGTTAGTAGTTCAAGAATATACATTCAAATAATGTTCATTCTTATCGAACGCATATTGTCTGCCAGCCAAGACGATGTCGCTGGATGCACTTTGTACAGAGAAAGTTCGTAAACTTGTCAGAAACGCACCTGAATAGGTTGCGTGATTTATCGACATAATGATGTTTTAAAACAATCAAAATCAGATAACTTGACGAAATTTATTGATGTCGTGAACAGGTATTCCACATATTCGAACAGGTCGCCAAACCATTTAGTTCTTACTATGCTAACCATTATCAAGGAATCTTCATTTATGAAACGATAATATTTGAACTATTTGTTCTATTCATTAGACGTCCACTGTATCAAACAAGTGGTCATCTATATTTTGATTCTTATGAATACGATTTTATACAAGGTTCATCCTAAATATAGAGATTTAATATGAATACAGTTTTTCTCTGAGTCGTCTGGAAATAATTCACATCGTGGTTTCAATTCAATATGACGGCAGTGCACTCCATACAAGAATCGTTAACATCGACTAATGCATTCAAAGTGAATTATCGTAAAATGATGCTCACCAGGTTAGGAGTAGAAGATGAAATGTGTGAAATAGAACAGTGTCTACAAACAGCAGTAATTTTCAACACAAATATTTGCTCGAACATCTTACATGACACAATTCATTTCAGATGTTATTCAATGAGAACCTCAATCTTCGGTTAATCTGCACCTTCTCTCAATACTAAATATAGACATTAAGTTCATGTTTAACCTAGAAGAAGATTGCACTTCTATTCGAATAAAACCATATACAGTGAATATTTGAATAATTTACAAACACGGAACAATGTTTACAACAAAGTATTTCTGTATTTTTTAAGGAATACTAGTAATGTAACATACAAAATGAGCTTCTGTTGTAGTCAACGATTGTCATATTCTAGAAGATGAATCTTCTTAAATGACCATTGGTCAGTCCAATCACTATCATGGAGATTGATGAAATGGTTATCCAAGACAGTCTCATGGAGTCTAAATTGTTCGAGAACAATAAAACACGTTTAGGTAAATGATGAATTCAAAACAAACATTTTGATTAATCAAAGTACAATTGGTTAAATGAATGTTTTTGTCTATGGATATGTTTACTATATTTGAATGATCAACTACTAATCTATCGATGGGTTCGTATACTATCAAAGTGTTCACAAAAGTTATTTCTAACCACAGAATTATGTAATGCATTGAAGAGACAGAGTAAATGATCAACTGAATAATTTCTGACACAATCACTTACTGGCTGAACCCGTAGCTGTGGATAGAATTGTATGAACAACAAGGAGAGTTTATCTATATAATTCATGCTTTGGAAACGTTTCATGAAACTTCAAATTATACAAAATGAGTAATGATTCATATGCATGGAATATGTATGATTCTCTGAGCAGCTTCAAATCTTATTAAATGAGTAATGATCCATGTGTACGAAGTGTGCATGATTCTCTGTGATGTTAGTCTGGAAATGGAACACATACTCTTTGTCTTATTGGATAATCGTCTGTTGGGTATGTGTAGTTGGGGATGTTGGTATTTACACGCTAGGATTCGAACGCAGTACCTTTGAATTTAAATGCCAGAGAGTTGTGTATTCACTGTTCTACTCAGTTCAGTCAGTCACTTACTTGTCTCGAAAGTATCATGTTTATGTTACATTTCACCGAAGGTGTGAATTATTCAGTTTGTTCTATTAAGGAATGAATACTGATCGATCAACTCATACCTTAACCAATAATCATATGAGCGAAGACTCATTGATTTACACATAGGAGATTATTAAATTTACTATGCATTTTGCACACTCACACACACGCACACCCGCATAATCAACTAACCGATCCATCAATCATGATGGATTAATCTGAAATAACTTTTTCATCTAGCAGAGGGAAATTCACAGGATCCTCGTTCGTGTAATGGTTCAAAATATTTGTTTTGTGATGTCCTGACTACAAACAACACAAGTTCAGATCTCATTGCTAACTCTTCACTTAAAACTCTTTATCAGTAACTCCAATATTCATTAAAAAACAGAACGTTGACAATGCCCATAGGTAGAAATGGTAAGGACTTAAAACTTACGCGTTGTTGAAGCTGTAATTAAAACAGACTTTCGCTTTTTACTCTAACAATTATAAATAGATGTTGGGCGATTACGTAGTTTATTCAAAACTGTGGTAAATACAGATGTCACATTAAATGCATCATGAACGAGTGGACAAATCGTTGATAAGATCTGCACAACTAGACATTATTCCAGAATATGATTCATTTCAGATGTTTACTTATCTCGGAAAACCTTGATGATTGGTAGTCGTAGGAACTTCATCTATATCAATAATCTTCTCGGCTTACAGTCTTGAATGTGGTATTATTATTCGAATCTAGTTAACAGTGAATGTGATTTTACAACTTACGTATAAGTGCTTCATTAGTACGTCCTGTTTCTTAAGATGATGTTTGACTGAGATTTGGCTACCTCGTTACATCTTCAGATACCTATTGACAAGGACGAATGGATTATTTTAGGCACAACATATGCCCATGACTCGCATCCAATTGAAGCCAAACCACTCGTTAATCAGTCATATAGGAATTTCAGCTTAACTAATTATATTGTGAATATAATTGCATAAATAATCACCTATAAAACACATTCACATTAGAACTCACTTGTAGCTGAAACACAATTTCAATTATCATGTTTAATAGTAGCTAATCCAACAATGATCAAATGTTATGTGAAAGATAACTACAGTGTACCATTCTTGAAGAATTGTCAATCGCAATATACGTTTCATTATGAAGTAAACTATAGATATGTGTGTTAGAATGTTTTCTGTGATAGAAATATGAATTGATTGGGAATTGATGAGTTCCTTCTGTGTCTCTGAAGATCATACAGATCAATTATTGACAGACATTTATCAACCTACACAATCATGGTAGTGCTTTAGAGGGATGACGACTTTGAGAAGATATGAAACGAGACTACCTGACTACACTATTATACACAATTCAACTTCACTACAACTCGAATTCAAATGACAATATCAAGGTGATTTATTCAAGATGTACATAGAAAGCAAACATCAGTCAAGCTTACTAGTTTCCTCTTCCCAGAAACCAGAACCTGAATGTGAGAAAGGAGAAATATTCACAATTACAATAATCGTTATTGTTCTTCTCCTTCAATGTAATTACATAACAATAAAACATTCATATTATTCATTAGATGATGCATAATTACCTGTTACATCATGTACGATTGTCAGTAATACAATTGTACTAATAAAAGTTACCAGACATTGATGATAATGCATGATTGTTGTGTGTATGAATCTCCTAACTTCGAATGGATAACTCGTTAGTAGTTGTAAATGTTCGTTCATTTACTTTTTATAATGAAGAAGAAGGATATCCGAATTGTTTACTTTTGTTATGTAATCTTTATGTAAATAAAATGAACGAGTAGAGAAAAAAGCGATTGTATTATGAGATAATGAGACGAATGTAAAACTGATTAATTAAATTTACATTAGATGTGGAAAGTAAATTTTCAACAGGAGTAATTCTATGCTATTCTCTGGACCGTCGAGCACACAGTCTTGGTTTAGCCAGTCAGAACATATAAGCTACTTGGCTTGATAAACCTGATCTGTTTCTAATACATAAATTAACACTTTTACTATACAAATAAACAGTACAGTCTATTAAACGGAGAAAAGGAGAGACATAAAAAACATACGAAACAGTAACTAGAGGATAGGGAATATTAGTCAACGAAGCGAATAATATTTTTTAATGAACATAAAATTGTGATTTTTCAATAAACAGGGCATAGTCATACAAGGTCAAAGAAAGTTAATGTGGTGGTAGGCGTTTCATATTATCATTGCTGGGATGGATAGTAGCTATCAGTGGAAACCAAGACACGTGTTCCGCCCTATTTAGGACTCGTCAGCTGGATGTACCTATATCCCAGAGTTGATGTTCACTCCTCTTTGTTTAAAAAGCTTGAGACTTAAGGCTATATCCACGCAATCCTCATAGGATGCACATATGCCAACATGAGACTGATCAATTGCAGTCCTAAATAACAATGGGAAGATACAAGTAAAACAACATCAAGTGAATTTATCATTGGTGGGTCTGCTTATCGATCACACTTTACATTAGATGACCCATTAATTAATATCAGAAGGGAATTTCGTGGATATTATTCTGATGTTTACACATCTCAATAGTTGAGATCATGAGTCAATTGAAGCTAGACTACCATGGAAAACCTGGCAGCACTAGATGGCCGTTTCATCCTATTGTCGGACTCCTCGTTGACAGTATGCATCCACGATCTCGCCTGGCAACATTCAAAACCAGGATCAATCAGTCTCCCGTGCGAAGGCCTAACCTCTAGACCACTGAGCCTGCATCCAGTGGTGTCAATGTCTAACTTCAACCAATCCACGAAATTCGGCCACCATCAACCAATGTCTTCAGTGAGTTACTACTTCACAACAAACTCGGTTCAACTCCACTGGTCACTGCTTCTCACTAGAACTCCAGGAAATACCTCTTCAAGATAGTCACTAGTTAGCACATGTTGATTATTATCAGAAGGGGTTTTCGTGGATATTATAGTCCCACAACAGGACGAAATGGCCGTCCAGTGCTTACAAGTTTCCCATGGTGGTCTAACTTCAATCGACTCAAGGCCCATTAATTGTTTTCTCAAATTTTAATATGTATATTACTTAATATAGAAAAAAAATTATTTTCAGGATAGTGATTAATGAGGGACTATTGATTATGACTGATATTATGAACTGAACTAAGTTAGAAGTCTATTGAAAACTAGAAAGCACAATATAGATGTATTGAACACTTGATCGTTTCTTGTAGTGGCACTCGAATATTTGATTCCAGATAGATCATATGTTTGATTGTTATGGAAATATACATATAGTCCATCCTTATGTAAAATTATTGACTTAATCGGTTTTAGTGTATAACGGAATTAAAACAAGTCAAATAGGAGAATGAAGTTTTGACCATGTGTATTCTCTACACTGATTGATCTGGACAGACAATTAGAGGGACGTAGCGAAATGACACGCGATGGAGATGGCGGATTAGCCAACTCGATTTAATCAAGCGTTAATCAATATTTATAATCACACAGATGTAAGCAATAGACATGTGATTAGTAGGATAAGAAGTGCACACATACACACGCTCATATCAGAAGAGTTAAGGTTAATAAGCGAGTAATTAACAAGGTCAAACTGTAACTCATGGAGAATGGATGAATTGGCCTGTCCAGAAGCTAGAATAAGTTATAAGGGCTTAACATAGTAACCGACACTACATTCTTATCCAGAATCTTAACACTAAGGTTCGATTGCAGGAACTTAAATCTTGCGCAAGAACTCTTAACATCAAAACTACTGATCCGGAATCTAGTGTTTTATATGTTTAACTTCAATGGTAATGTAAAATCATGTTTAATTATCTTCAGTAGGTTACTTCATCACATATAATATGGTTGAACTTCACAAGTCACAGCTTTTCACTACAGTTCTAGAATGAAATCCGCAAATCGATCATTAAAGGTCAAGGTATAATTAATATTAATCAGGTGGTTTATGGAGATTTCATATGTTATAAATAATATGAACAAAACTAAGTTATTTATAGGTGTCATTACCAAGGTTTAATATGATAATTTTGAATAATCATTTAAGGTGTTGTGAAGATTGTTAAGTTTTTGATTGGAATCACGAGTCACTTGAAGCTAAACCGCAATGGAAAACCTGGAAGCACTGGACGGCTGTCTCGTCCTATTGTGGGACCTGTCAGCAGTGTTCACCCACGACCCCGCTAGCGGCACTCGAACTCATGGCCTATCAGTCTCGCGCCAGGCGCTTAACCAACTAGACCACTGAGCCGGCGTCCAATGGTGTTATTGTCTAACCTCGACCCATCCACGAAATTGTGCGACCATCTTCCATTGTACTAAGATAGACACCTGTTTCTACCCGAAACGGATTAGCTCCAATAGTCACCAGAACTCCGAGAATTTTCTCACGTAGCTAGTCACTAGTGAGAACACGGTAATTATCAGTTTAGGTGTTGTGGAGATTGTTGGCATTGTAGGCCCTGGGATCGAATCTCGCGGGGTGCGGGATCGTGGATGCGCACCGCTGAAGAGTTCCATACTAGGACGAAACGGCCGTCCAGTGCTTCCAGGTTTTCTATGGTGGTCTGGTTTCAATTGACTCGTGATTTCAATCAAAAAATTTCGAATAACTTGAGCTTTGGGTAGATTGTTATGAATAAATGTACATTATATTCTCTGAAGAAGTGACTTACATTAAGTTACGAAACATCAGAAAATCTCATTTTTCTACTTATTGGGATATCTACAAATATATCATCTAAATTATTTATGTCCACCTTCATCATCACTACACTATCTCCATCGGACATTGGTTCAATTCATTGATTGTCTATTTATTCTACGTTGATTTTGGGGCGGCCAAACCAAAACGTGGCATCAGTCCATAAAGTCACCAACTTCTAGTCTTAGCTATGTCGGTAGATACAAAATACTAGGTTGGGATCGGTGTGACTATCGTAACCAATTACTGGAGACTGTGTGATATGGCCTAGAATCGATCACAATGGCGTCGGTGTATACACTCTCTGTCTTCTCTTAAACTAAGAGATTAAAATTGCTTCACATCTTTCTTTCTTCCTTTACTATATCCTTATATACAATCTTTCTTTTATATATTAACACCATTGAACTAACTTCTTCTATGAATTTTGTATTCATGTTGTTATGCTAATGAGGTATGGCAACTTGGACTGATGCATATATGTGCCTGGTCCTACGTTGTAGCTGACTGACTGACTGACTGACTACGTTGATTAATGCATAGTGATAATGTTATTTTTCATCATAATCAGTAGTATAGATGGGGTATTGAAATATATGAAATGAATAATACTTTTTTTCATAAAAGGCATACTAAAACTAATTCAATAAAGTATTATGTTCTAATTTTATACATGAGTAATTATGAAAGGAAACATCTTTCATCGTTTTTTTTTGGTTGTTTACATAAAACTATTAGTAATATGATACATTTGAGCTTAAATCTTTTTTTGGAAGAAAAAGAAAATCAAAGTCTTGTATAATAAACAATCAATTAGTAAATGATCATATACTGAGAACGATCTGTTCATAGAATACTTTATGAATAGTGGAAGTTTCCAAATGAATGCATGAATGAATGAATGAAGAAGAAGAAGAAGAAGAAATAGAACTTAATGAAATCTATGGAATGGGACATAAACTGGAATTATCAATTGGTTGATCACTGAAAGCTTTACAATTTGACTTATTCATTCATAAAGAAAGAGAGTTATGTTGTGAATTTAAGTTTGACTAATTATCATATGATTTATTCGTCAATCGAAATATGACTTATGTAATCTTAGTACTGTGCTAAACCAATGACATTCGACTGTTATAATAAACCTAGCATTCTTATTAGTCCTTTATCCTCCTGACTCGTCCATTTGAGTCCAGAACCCCAGCAACAGCTTCCACTATGTAAATCGTTTATTTCAAACATACTTGGTTTATATATCAGATAAACAGGCCGCATCACATCATAAAATAGGAAACAACATTTATACAAGATCAAGCCAAAAAGTAGCTGCGAACCTGGGAGATTATCATTAATAAACTGAGTATAACTTAAGAACCGTGAATCTTATCATAATAATCTGTAGTTCTAAATGAAGCTTATAATAAGAGGAATATAGATATACATAATCTAATTACTGAATAGTTATACAATAAGAATATGTATATAATATTGGCTCATTAATAGTCCTTATAATGTACCCATAGTTTAATCTTCACTAGAATATAGCACGTTATAATACTAATATATGCAATACAATCCAATTTCGTCTTAGTTTCAATAACTAATGAAGTCGTGGATGTACATAGGCAAGGAAGGAACGAGTTGAAAACTCACTAGACAATTCTGTTTCAACGTAAATTTAACTGACAGAATCAACTTTACTGTTTCATTATTGATAAAGTCTTCAGGTTAGTTATGTATCTGAAAATGGATGCTAATTATTTGAAGAGAACAAATTCATTCTTAATTTGCATAAGAGATCTGGTTTTGTTAGGCACTTAAATAAACGATTCCTGAATAGTCGATCAAATCACTGAGGTAGATTATGACGTCACGGTGTAGAATATCATGATAGTCGATGAGAGTGAAGTTTGATGAAACAC